TTTCTATTGGTTTCCTCATGCATTTTTCATATTAGAACCTGTTGAGATACTCATGTGTCTCAGAACACATTTACTGAAATTAATTTTAACATGTTACCATTAAAAGGCTATAATCTACAGAAGAACATTGACGTATTAATTCAAACTATAAGTCTTACTATAGAGCTATCATTTAAATAGATTTATTGTTAACTAACTTGACATATGGTATCAATTTCCTTCATCTCCCATGATACAATAGAGATTTTTTTGGGGGGGGGGTTAAAAAAGTGGTAAGTAAAAAAGTATAAAATAAATCATAGTTTGCTAATTTCAGCAGGTACCATGGGAATTCTACAGATGGACTGAGCAATTTAAAAACAGTGCAGATGTTTCTTTTGTTGATCTGCCTTTTTTGATAGCAAGAGAATCACAGCTAAATCTGGAAATGACAATGGCACAGCTTTCTCTGATAATTTGTTTTTAATGAGATGAATCTGGCTTCATTGAGCCATGTAGATGTGCCAGTGAACTCAATAAGGTTGGATTTCTCATGTGTCTATAACAGGTGCGGTGGCTCTGCAACTCTCACCTCACAATCAGGAGGCTGTGAGTTTGATCCCAGGTAGAGGCTAATATTTGGTCCTGCTTGAGCAGGGAAGGTGGACTAGATGACCTCCAAGGTCCCTCCCAACTCTGTTATTCTATGAACATCTATTGTTATAAGGAGCTTCTGTGGTGCAGTGGTTAGAGTGCAGTACTGCAAGTTACTTCTGCAGCCAGCTGCCTACAGTTTGGCAGTTCAAATTCCACCAGCTCAAGGTTGACTCAGCCTTCCATCCTTCCAACTTGGGTAAAATGAGGACCCAAATTGTTGGGTGCAATAGCCTAACTCTGTAAACTGCTTAGAGAGGGCTGGAAAGCACTGTGAAGTGGTATATAAGTCTAAGGGTTATTATTATTATTGTGACTTGGCACAAGAGTCTTCTCCAGTGGATAATCCATTGATTTTGTTGCATGTGTAAAGGCAATGAAACCTAGCAAATCATGTTACTAAAATTTACTGAAATTCAACAAAACCAGTTAATTGACTGTAATAATTTTGTTCTGGTGAATGGCTATCTAATGACCATTGTTATTTTAATACTGTTTTCCTAATATTATTTTAGTTTTAAAGTTCTTGACAATCTTCCTCTGAGTAAACTAATAAAATTAATCAACTTTCACAGGAATCTTGTGCTAATATTGATGTATTTAACATATATGAGCTTGATCCAGGTCCTTCTTGGCTTCTTAATAGCATATAAAAAGAAATGGTAGAACTGAGACATGGACATTGTTTCACTTTGGAAAAGGGCAACACTGAAAGTCTTGAAGAAAGCTATGGTGCACCTTTGCTTAAGGGAACTCAAAAGAAAACTATAGGAAGTGGGTTAATTAGATTCCTGAACAGTCATATTGCAATTCTGACATGGGATAGAGAAGCCATTGACCACTCTAATCTTTGTAGGAACTTTGATGTAGTTTGGTAGTCCTCTTAGACTTCTCATTGGCATTTTATGCCATCGACTACAGTATTAAGGAGTGCTAGACATTAATATGGAAAGAAACAACCATTCTTAAGTGGTTCCTCTGATATCTCAAGATATAATTCTAATCCATGATGATGGAGGAGGTCAGGATGGTGACTATTTTCACAAGGTTTGTTTCTTCTCTGCACTTGCTATGTAATATATTCATAGCAATGTTATGGTCTGATATCATCAATACACTGATATTTGGCTCGATATTATGATCTTGGGCCCCACAAGGGATGTTGTCAAAATCTGCTCCTGGTGTGTAGAGTATGAATGGGACAAAATAGGACAAAGTTTATTTCAATAAGACAGAATTGCTGCCCTTGAGATAATATTACTATGACTTGAGGTTTTGTCTTAGGTTCACTTTTCCTGCTGGAAGGGCTGGTAGTAGCCATAGCCAAAAGTATCTTTGTCCAGTTCAGGTTGATAGCATAGCACTTGGACTTATATACCACTTCACAGTACTTTTACAGCCCTCTCTAAGCAGTTTACAGAGTCAGCATATTGGCCCCAATAATCTGTGTCCTCATTTTACCCATGTCAGAAGGATGAAAGGCTGAGTCAACCTTGAGTCTGGTGAGATTTGATCTGCCAAATTGCAGCAGCTGGCAGTCAGCAGAAGTAGCCTGCAGTACTGCATTCTAACCACTTCACCACTATGGCTCAGGTTGATGGGCAAGTTCCAACCTTTTCTGGAGCAAAATGAATTGGCTACAGTGACTTATGAGTTGGACTTCTGCCTCTGAAATCAACCTGGAATAGCACTTGGTCCAAATGTAGTGGGCTTCACTTTTCAGAAAATAACTCGTTTCATTCAGTGCTCTTAAGGGTATTTGTCATGATAATTACATTGTATGTAGACATACCCATTGCCAAGAAGCCTTGAAAGATAGAAAGATAAAAAAGCATTTAATGCTATTTGTACAGTTCAGTTGTCATAAAAATATAACAAGAAGAGATATATAGATTATGGAAAACAAAAACACATAAACATAGCATGCGAACATCCATTTTCTGAGCAAACTCTCTCAGAACTCAACAAAATATTTATCTTTCTTTTTTGTTTATGAAAAAAAACTTTATATGCTACTTCAAAATTACTTTTGTTTTCTTTTCTCTGTCCCTAATTATATATAGTGGTACATTCCAGAATTGTTACTTCAGCATATCATTTCATTCTATTTAATAACTGACTTAAACAATGTCAATTTTTTTTAAAGGTTTTGTATGACCCATGACAAATCAAAGACCTGGTATATTTTTGTAGAAAGTCAGCAAAGTAAAAACTGAAATATAAAAAACCCACAACCAAAGCCATATGTGGTATGGCCTCACTTCTACATCAAAAGATATTTCATGTATTCCAAAAACTAAAAGGGGGAACTAAGCTCTCTTGACTCTAGGGATTAACCAATATTGAATTTCCTTAGCATATTTATCAGTGTATATAGTAGTTCCATTGTTCTTTTAAATGACAGCACATATTCATAAAGTTGATGTTGTGCTTAAACAAGATAATGCATTGCAAAGTGCTGAATTTAGGAATACATTTTTGTTTGAATCCAGATCTTCAGTGAGCTCAATATTACCTCTTAGTGTTTTCAGCTAACATAGTAACATTTACAAATGAATTAAATTATACCTGTTTCATGACAAGAATATTGTTCAGAAGAATAATTTACTACCTACTACTAGGTATTAGCATTTAGGTTTCCACAACCTGTGGTGTATATGACAATATAGTTTATGGATGTTTATATCTGTTTGGACAAGGTTACTGTAAATTACAACAATGTTTTTGGTCAGTGTGCTGTGTTAGACTGATAAATATCTCAATAGCTAACAATGACCAGATTTCTCATCAGATTTGAATCATGAAAGTGTTTGGTCCAGTAATCTGTTTATTGACTAATGATCTATTTCTTTATTTAATTGTAACTTTCTGACACTTTAATTTGTATTTCTTTTAGTGTTTATTGGCTACACATTACTTTGAGCACCTCGATGATAGGAAATATAGCTAATGAGAATAATAAATAGATATATTGCAAACTAATTCAGGAAATTGCTGACTATGTGGATACATTTGACATAAAACTGACTATATTATACTACCTAGTGCAGCATTTCATAAGATTGTCAACAGTTTGAAAATCATACATACTATTTGGTATAACATACAATTGAACTGCAGCACAATTAATGTCACTCAGTTTAATGAATTTATAGCGTATATAGCCTCTCTTTGGGTTTATTATTCCTAATCCTACTTTTATATAGCCCACACTGAGAACAATTACAATAAAAGTATTTTTGATGGCTCTTATGAAACAATGATCACAAACAAAACAAACCAACTTATTTATAATGTCAGCCATTATTTTACTTACATTGTATAACTAGCTGGATTCCTCCTGTTTCGTGATGAAACTATGTGATCAGGCTATGCAGGAGGCTTTCTTTCTTTCCTCTTTTCCCATCCTCCTTTCCCTTTTTCCCTTTCCCTTCCTTTCCTTTCCTTCTTTTTTCCTTTCCCTTCCCTCCTTCCTTTCCTCCTTTCCTTTCCTTTCCTTTCATTCTTTCCTTTCCCTTCCCATCTTCCTTTCCTTTTTTCCTTTCCCTTCCTTTCCTTCTTTCCACCTTTCCCTTCCCTTCCTCTTTTCCTTTCCTTTCCTTTCCTTTCTCTTTTCCATTCCTTTCCATCTATCCATCATCTATCTATCTATCTATCTATCTATCTATCTATCTATCTATCTATC